TTTACGTTTAACGTTTAGTTACTTTTACTTTACGTTTAGTTAGTAGTAGTAGTAGTAGTAGTAGGTAGGTAGGTACGGTACGGACGACGTCGCGTCTCTCTCTCTCTCTCTCTCTCTCTCTCTCTCTCTCTCTCTCTCTCTCTCTCTCTCTCACTCCCTCCTCTCTCTCTCTCTCTCTAAGTAGTTGGCAGTGCCTGCTATTATTTGTATATCTTCCTCATGAGTTTTACATCACAATGTTGGGGCTCAGTGTGAACCTGCTCAGGTTCCTATCCTCTTTGGTTTGTCATACTGGAGTTACTTTTCTTAAGCTTACCTTTGTACTTGATGCAATGGTTTAATATGTATATTCTGACTATTTATCTAAGTAAGAGTATTTATGTAAAACTGCTTGATTGATGTTTTGTGCAACTCTTTTTGGTCTTGTCCACTTGTAATGTTGTTTACTGTATAAAAATTTATGCTCGTTATCTGCTTAGATAACAGCTTTCACTATAGTTTATATAATGTTTGGTAATAGCGTGCATAATGTCTTTCTGGTTGATAATTTGGTAGCATTTTGAACTTAATTTTTTAAGAGGTCTGAAATTTGAATGTCCCTGATCCTCTGTTACTCAACCCACCATCCATGAGACATGGTGTATCTACTTACACAGTTCATTAGGGCTTTGTAGGGGTTATGGAGGATTTGGGGCACTTGGGCATTCTGTTTACCATCGAGAACTTTCGCCTAGGCAAGTAGAGAATGCTTGGAGTGGAAAAATATGTCATCTTGCTACCAGTGGTACTCATACTGCCGCTATTTCTGATGCAGGTCAGCATAATTAACGATGTTTGAATTTGGGAGTTAGCTTTTTAATGACTAAAGTTTCTATTGAGTTTGAGTTAATTTCTAGAATGGATTGAAAGCTGATAAGCGTATCAACATAGAACTTCTAGAAATTTGAGCTGATGATAGAAGGAGGTCCTAGTAATATCTGGGGAGCTTGAATATTTGGATAGTGTTCATGCTAAAAGTTTGTCTTTTTCCATTTTGTTCAATCAGGAAGAACATCGTTACCTTAGCATCCTTCAAAATAAATAGTCTTTTCCTCTAAATATCCTTCTTGCAAAGGACATTGCGTGTATCATTTTGCTTATGTATCCTTATAGTTAATTTTCATGGCTACTTTTATTTGCTATTGTATGAATCTCTGAAAGCGAAAAGATTGACCGCATGTCATAATTGCCTAAGCACCGTGAACACTTAATGGCTAAAATAGTTTCTCCTTCATATTCTCTCTTACAGATTTTTTGCACACTTTCTTCTTTTTTACAACTGATACTCGAAAATGAGTGGGTGTCTGGCAGATTATTTGAGGTTTTCAAGTGTGGGGTTGCACAAGTGGCCTTCTCTATATGAGTGGTTAATCATTATCCACATAAGAATTTGCATGAGAGTAAACATTGGTGAGGACAAACCTTATGACAACAAGGGTATTGAACATAATAAATCATTCACTCTACCCTTCTAGGAGTGCCAAGAGTTTCACCATTGCCACGTCACGGTACTCTCTAGCCCTGAAAACATCATTGTCATGGACCCACTACTCTCTTTCACAATCCCTTCTACTAACCCTGTGCCTGGTTGCTGCACAAGCATGCTGATAATGATTTTCGTACATTCTCTACTTTGAGGGAAAGTATTAAAAAATGACTTAAGCTATCCACTAGGCATTGCATCTTTCACGTGTTCAATGGTAGTCATGTCATTTATGTTCTTTTTTAGTGATCTGTATATCGTTTGCTCTGGCAGCCATATTAAGTAATGAGAAGCTATTTTTGATCTCATCATTTTCTCCTGTCATTTCTTCGCATTTTCACGTGGTCCACATCTGAGTAATTCTATAATATGTTTGTCCATAGCCCGAAAGAACTCCATTATAAACCATTAACAATGATACAACAAAGGTGTGGTTGAAATTGTGAACATACTCCTGAATTCTCACACATGCTCTAAAATAAGCATTCTTTAATTTAAACAAGAAAAAAAAAATCAATTCTACAGAATATAATTAACTTACGGAATTTGACATGTATCTTTAACTAAACCAAATATCTATAGTTCTACGAAATATTATAGCTGGTAGTTAGAGATCTTTGCTGAAAACATAGACCCAGAATTGAAAACAACCCGTTCCAAACAATCACCATGGACAGTGCTTCCTGATTAGAGAGATTCCTTTATCAAGCAAGAAATCCCCAAAGTAACATGGCTTGTGGACATGGCGGCCTCTCAGTCATTCTCTTTCATGAATGCCAAGATGTTTAGAATGGTTGGCTGAATCCCATGACAGGAGCGTGATGAACAAGAGCATGAATGATAGTTACTGGGAATGGGAGCGAGGGGAGCTTCGGGATCAGAAGCAGGAACACGACAGCTACAGAGGCTCGAAGATCCGTAGTTGAGGGAACGAGTTCTGTACATCATGAGGTAAATGGATTGAGATCCCTAACATTAAGGGAGCATGTTCCATAACTGCACAGGAGCAAATGCTAAACTGAATGGGATCGCGGTCTATCGAGCTTAGGATAGAGGCTCCCAAAGATCCCCTATCCACATTATTCTGGTTTGGAAGCGAATTCCATTAAACAATTATTTAAGCAAGTTTCACTTCAAACACGTTACTCCTATGGGTCCACTACAAAAATTTCACGCCTACCTACATTGGTCTGCCTATATATGCACACGACCTCATTTTCGATACCTATCAATTGGATTGGACAATTACGATCGACTAGCGATTGATGATTATCTTTAAGAATGCTGTGATGGATTGTTTTCAAAAAGGAAATTCTACGATAGATAAGCCGTCCTTGGAAAAGAAAAAGGGAACGACATTGCCATACATAATTCTCAATAGATCTCCTCCGTTAAAAGATTGCTAGGGGCTCAAGGACATATAGCCAAGAGAAATTTCACATTTCCAAGCATATATCTTATTTTATCACCCATAAGACAACCCCATAGGTGACTTAGTTTGGGTAACCAACACTCAAGCAATAGAAGTCCTTCGAGAGGTGGACAAGACCCAGTGGACTAGTAATAAGGAAGTTAAGCCTATTGATCGCGACCTCATTCCTCGATTAGAACCGCAACTCATCTATGTTTTTTATCTCCTTCCATCTTCTTCTCTCTCCCTGCCCATTCTTATTGCCTTTCTTTGAAACTAATCACAAGTCACAATTCATATATGTAAAGAAGTAAAATGTAAAATATGTAGGAAATCAGAGCCTTCAGAAATTTTGAAGGTCATAAAAAATTGTAGATCCATTCTCCCTTATATTATTATTATCATCCAAGCCTTATCCCAACTATTTAGGGACAGATACACGAATCCTGTTCTGTCATTCCGCTCTGTCAAGGGTCACACCCTCAGTCAGACCAGAAGTCACCATGTCTTTTTTTACTACTTCTATTCATGTCCTTTAGGGTTTTACCTTTGCCTTTATATAAACTTCCACGTGAACCAAATCACCCTCACCAACGATGTTGTTTTAGGTCGACGTTGTACATGACTAGACTATCTAAGTCTACTTTCTCTCATTTTATCGCTTATAAAGCTGCCCCTAAGTACCCTCCGATGACTTTATTATGAATTTTATCATTCTTTGTCTCGTCACTCATCCACATCAACGTCATCATCTTAGCTATGGATAAGTTGTTTCGTGACTACCCAACATTCGGTCTCATAAGGCATGGCTGGTCTTACAACCGTCCTATAGAATATCCCCTTCAGTTTCACTAGTATGCGAGGACAACATAAGACTCCAGAAGCACATCTCCACTTTGTCCACCCAACTCTAATTAACATCTTTCTCAGTCTCTCTTTTCTCATCGATTATTGACCCAAGATGTTAAAAATAATCTTTATTATGTACTACTTGGCCATAAATCTTAACTAATTCTTTGTTCTTTCCCCTATTATTACCATAGTTACCGGGATCTCCTACTTTGGTAGGCTATCCTTTCTAGTATCTCGATTTTGTCGCTCTCGAAACAGATCTCTCAGGAATCTCAATTTTTAAATTTTGAGATCTTGATCCCCACTAGTAGGGATCCCGATTGTTGTTGTTAAGGATCTCAATCCCAACCCTAAATACCAAGACAATAACTTAACTGATGATGTTCTTTGTTTATAGCCAGCTAGTAGCACAACTATACTTTTTATATAATTGCATTGCTTGCTTGCTATCAATAATGAGATCCCTATTTTAAAGAGTATACTTAATCCTAGATTATCATACACTTTAAGGTTGCTAACAAGATCGCTAAAAAGTTGGGATCAAGATCTCAAAAGATCGCAATCAAGATCCCCAAAAGGTTTGGAATCTCAACCCCTAGCATTTTGGGATCTGCATTCTGAATATGTGAATTGCACAGACGACTTCCCAAACCATAGGGATTTTCTAGAATTTCATGATCCCTTACTCCCAATCTCAATCCCAGTATTGTTCCCGCTCCCAATCCCAACAACTATGATTATTACTATACTTGCATTCCATTTATTCTTTTATTAGTCCAGCTAATTTTAAAACCTTTAGATTCTAAAACATCCCTCCAATATTCTAACTTTGCATTTATGCCATCTCTAGTCTCATCAATCAAAACTATGTCATCCACAAACAACATACACTAGAGGACCTCAGCCTATAGATGCCTAGTTAGCTCGACTAAACAAAGCAAAGAGATATGAGCTCACTATTGACCCATGATATATGCCTATTGTGACTGAAAACTCATTTGTCTCTTCACTAGTGATTTTCACATTAGTTAGCACTTCCTCGTACATTATCCTTAACCATATAATTGTACCCTCTTGATACTCTTTTCGTTTCCATCACCTACCTAATTATCTCTCTAGGTACCCTATCATATGCTTTCTCTAAATTTATAAAGATCATGTGGAGGTCTTTTCTCTTCTCCCTAAGCTTCTCAAGTCAATTGCCTAAGTAGGAATATAGCCTCAATTGTTGACCTCCCTGGCATAAATCCGAACTGATTTTCTAACTCACTCATTTCATGTCGTAGTTGGTTGCTCAATCACTCTATCACACAGTTTCATTGTGTGCCTCATAAGTTTGATCCTTCAATAGTTTGTAGAACTCTGTATGTCTCCTTTATTCTTGTAAATAGGTACTATAGTACTTTTCTTCTAGTCATTTGGCATTTTCTTTATTCTCAAAATCTTGATGGACATCTTGATCAATCAGAATATATCAATCTCTCCCATGTACTTCCAAACTTCTATTAATAAACCATTTGGTCCTAAAGCCTTTTCTATTTTCATCTTTCTTTCAGTTTAGATATCCTAATCCTAGAGTAGTATCTATTACCTCCGCCCTTATTTATGTCAATCGTTCCTCCTGATGTTGACCTAGTGAAACTTTCTCCCAAAGTATTAGATACTCAATTCCAAGTTGGTGGAATTGCGGTTCTAGTTACTAATGGAACAATGATTTTGGGCATAGGGATTTAGATCCCACTACATGGGATCTAGTTCCACGATTTCTTGGGTTGAGATCCCACAATCAAGGAAACACTTGGAATTGAGATTCTATTGTCGTAAGAGTGGGAAATCGAGTTTCTGGAGCGGGACCGACCCCCTCCTTAGAAGATCCTAGTAACTATGGCGTGAATGCTACGTTTATGCTTTGATTCGAAAATTGGAGGAAGATGAGGAAATCAAAGACTTCAGACTAAAAAGTATAATTATCAGCTCATACCATCATGACTTTGTAATGCCTTGGACCAAGTCATCTTCCTTCCCTAAA